CCCCATCAAGCCGCCACTGACTGCCTGCTCATGACGCAGGAGTCACCACCATTTGGGGTTTTTTCCAGTATGATGGACACACACTGCCCTATCTTCATGCCTGAGACTGAAGGATGATTTCCAAGAGGAAAGACCACTGAGGCAAAGAGAATATTCTGGGGCGAGGCATGAAAGAGCATGGCGTTCTCAGGGAACTGTGTGTAATTCCAAGTGACAGGAATGCACTCTGGGAGCCCTCAGAGGAGGTCACAAAGGGCCTTGTGAACACTGCTAAGGGCTTTGGACTTGATCTTAGTTGCAGTGGAGAGCTACTGACAAATTTTAATTCAGGAAGTAGCGTGATTAGATTTGTGTCCTAGGAGGTTCACCCTGACCTCGGGGTGGAGGAGGGCAGAATAGGGGCACCGTCCTGGCGGGCCACTGCAGTGTGGAGGTTAGCGGAGAGTGTGGTCAGGCTGTGGGGGAGAGAAGGGTAAATTTGAGAGATGTCTGGAGACAGAAGCAACAGGTTTTGAAGTTAAATTTATTGGGGGAGTGATGGAGAAGAATGATGTCTTTTTTGGCTTGACCCCTGGGTGAATGGTGGTGCCAGCCACTTGGGGAATTTGGGAAACAGAGCAGCACATTTCTGGGGGTGAAGGATGGATTCAGTATTGGGCAAGTGGAGTTTGATGTGCTGATGGAAGACCTAACCATCCAGTAAGTGGTTGAAGTCGCAGCTGGTAACCACTGGTTCCTTCTCTACATCTGTGAGTCTGTTTCTTTTCTGTTAGATTCACTAGTTTGTTGTATTTTTTAAATTCCACGTGTAAGTGATATCTTGCAATATTTGTCTTTTTCTGTCTGACTTATTTCACTTAGCACAATGCCTGGACGACTTAATTCTTAAGTTTTTCCTCAACTACAAAATTTACCAGGAACCTGGAAAAGTAAATTATTTCAGGTGTTCACTGACTTGGAAGACTTCTGAAATAAATGACTGAGAAACCTTTCCCTATAGGGTCTTCCTCTCGGTAGTATTTTGCCTTCGTAATATTCTCGAAGACGAATTTTTAAATTTTCCGTACATGTAGAATATGTCATCCATTAAGCATTAAATCTTTCCCTTTTTGCCCATTACCCCTGCTCACTTTTAGTCTAAAGAATATTAATAATTTTAAAAAAACCACAGTTTCATTGAGCTATAATTCACATACCATACTGCCGACCCATTTAAGTGTAAATCTGTGTATTCTCACCACAGTGAATTTTAGAACATTTTCACTTATAGATTTTTATAACTATTATTTCTGCTAAAGAAAATGATAAAAACAGTACCCGAGAGAAAACTCTTAGAAGTATTCTCCTGGTACAGAAACCCCCCTTTTGACAAACTTGCCGCTCGTCACAGCTATGTGCCAGCGTAGGAGTGAATTCCGTCCTGCGCGTGAACCGGTGGTAGAAGCAGTGGGCTGCACGGTGGCCCTTGGGCTTAACGCGGACAACCTGCTGAGGACCAGAGGTGCCCCCACGCTTGATAAAGTAGTACCCATG